TAGGGTTTAGGGCACACAGACACATGCACTCATGCGGACAGTGCGCGTGCCATTGTCTAGGTGTGTGCATTCGGGGGCGGAGAGAGCCAGAGAGAGAGAGAGAGAGAGATTGAGAGAGTGTCTAAACCCTAAACCCTACACCCTAAACCCTAAACCCTAAACCCTGGACCCTGCTGTTCTGTAAGGTTTTGGTGGAGGTGTTTGATGTGGAGGCGCCTTGAGGCTGAGGGGGTCCCTTCGTAGAAAAAAGTAGGGTTGTAGACACCCCTCTACCTCAGCATATGAAGGCTTGGCAACACGTCTTTAAACCCTAATTTCGAAATACGAAACATCACAATGCCGCAAGGAAAACCTCAGGTAGTCCCGACATCTCCAATGCCGTTTCACAGACTCCAACAGTATGCAAAAACCCTTCGTGAGGCAGTACTGCTAGAATAGGGCGCCTAAAGCTAGGAATCCTTTCAAAATGTGCGGAACATCCTGTAAAACCTGTCTAACAAACCCAAACCCTAAACCCTATCAACCCTAAACCCTAAACCGAAAACCCTAAACCTTAAACCCTAAACCCTATAAACTCTGTCTAACTTCTAAACCCTTGGCATGCTCGGAGCCGTCGCGACCTGGGCGAGGAGCTGTGGAAGACCCCAGCACCCAATTCTGACCCGCGCCCTGGCGCACGGTTTAGGCTTTAGGTCTAGGGTTTAGGGTTTGGGGTTTAGGGTTTAGGGTTTAGGGGTTTAGGCTCTAGGGAAGAGGGGGTTAAGAGGTTTAGGGTTCGAGTTCTATAGAGTTCAGCAGTGTTCAGGGATTAGACGTGTTTTTTTGTTGCACGTGTTGCAATCGTTGAAGAGGGTGTGTTTTGATTGTTGCTTTAGGGGTGCAGGGTTGCGTATGCGGGCATGGGTTTACACATTAATATACTGTACGGGGTCTAAATAATTACATACAGTATTTTTGGGGAGATTCCTTATTATGATGTTCGTATACTACAGCCGGAAATCCATTTCTAATTATTTACTGGGCTTTGGAGTACCATACTTCAATACTTTTTGGGGGACCTATTCCTTAAAGGAACCATTATGAAATCAACGTCTATACTCTTTTCTCCCGGGTTACTTCAAAGCCCAGTTTAGGCCCCTATACTAGTTTTTTGAATCCTGAGGTGGAGCAGTTCACTGAACCTGTACACAAGGTTTAGGGTTTAGGATTGAGGGGTTTAGGGTTTAGGGTTATGGGTTCAGGGTTTAGTCATGCCGGTTTCCGGCAGGGTTTAATTAGGCTTTAGGGTGTTGGGCCCATGTAGGTTATATTGGGTATATCCTTGAGTGGCCACGCAAAACGTATCGTGAAAGACAGCACTTCCTGTACAAACCCTGAAAAAGCTACAACGCCACCAACCCTAAATCCTAAACCCTAAACCGTAACCATTTCTCATAAGCCCGATCAAACCTGCAAGCCATAAAGCAAAGCCGACCCTAGTATCCTAAACAACACATCCTCAAACCCTGAAATCCTACGGCCCGGAACCTGACGGGGATATAGAAGCCTGCGAAAAAAAGTGTTTACGGTTTAGGGTTTAGAGTTTAGGGCTACCCTTTTAGTATTCCTCAGTGATGACTAGTATAATCGAAGTGCGGGCTCTGAAGACTTTTGTCAGCCGATTCACTGCAGCTTCTGTGGGAAACCCTTTGAGAAATCATAAAGACCCCGGCACAACTCAGGAAGTGTTCGGCTTTTTGGTCAAAGACCCCTTCAGGGTTGTTCGCCCTTCTCGGTTTCTGTCACCGTAGGGTGTAGGCTAAACGAGGTTACGGTTTTAGGTGGCAGGGGTTCTTTTTAATGGAGCTTAAAATTTAAACCCTAAGCCAGAAACCCTAAACCCTAAACCCTATTGAAGATTGTAGCCTATAGGCTACCGAGGCTTTATTTTTTAATAGGATCCCCCAAAAATGTCTGGGTCTCCCAGTTGGCCCTTTCTCCCTTAGTGGAGTCTCAGGTTCCTTCTGAAGGGTACCCAAGACCAAAAAGGGAGCCCTTTTCAATCCTAGGTTACTGGGCATTTAAGGACATGTTTTGATATTCTGTGCAACACAGGCTCTGTCCATGAATAACACGGCAGGGTACTTCGAGCCAGAACCTGATCCTTCAAGCTGGGATTTACTGACCTGTCAACCCTAAACCTTTTTCTATCTTTGGCCTCAGGAACCCTGAGCTCGATATCGAATCTTTGACCACGGCTAAGGTAGTTGTCTTAATTACAGTAAACCCCAAAAAGTTGGAAACCGGATTAAGGACAAATAGTGCTGGGGTTCCCTATACATTACTCTTACGGATTGAGGCCATTGGGTTTCCAACTTTTGAGCTTCTACTATAGGGTCCGGTTAAGGGTCCTTTTTATAAGGGCGCCGTACTATATTTGGGATCCAAGACGAGACCCTTCTTTGGAGAACTACCCGCTTGCAAGGTCCTTCTCGGACGGTGGGCCAACATTGGGCCAGAATGGCAAAGTGTATGCGTGCTTGCGGCGGCAGTGGCTAAACCCTAAACCCTAAACCCTAGAGAGGGTCCTGCTTGAGTAGTGCTAGGACTTTTTCATACCGGCGAAAAAACCCAGAGGCCAGACGGTTACAACAAGTAAAAAAATCGCTGTATCATGGGTCAAAGAGGCGCAACTCTAAGGGCTTAGTAGGATTTAGGATGAGGTAGTTCCCTAGCATCAAAGCCCAAAGCCCTGAAACAGCCAACACGGTCCAACGTAACCATCGGTCACTTGGCTCGTTGGATTTAGGATAGTGGTCGTTATACCCTGGCCAAAAAACGCAACTAAGGTTGCGGGTTTAAGTTTGGGGTTTAGGGAGACCTGATACCCCAAACCCTTATCAATGCCGCCATAGTCTGAACACGCACACAGTAAAGCTCTCATAATGGCCTGTGCAGTACTGTAGTGAAACCCTGTCAAAGCCTAAACCCCTAAACCCTAAACCCTTTACCCCAAAGCCTAAACCCACGAAAGCCTGGCAAGCCATGCTTTGTATAACAAGCGAAGCTTGAAATATACAGGGAGTCTTCAAGGAATCATTAGAACTCTCATCCCTAAACCCTAAACCCTAAGGAACCTTAAACCCTAACACCCTAAACCCTGAACCCTAAAGAACCCTAAACCCGAACCCCCCAAAACCCTAAATCCAAAACCCTAAACCCTAAACCCTAAGGAACCCTAAACCCTAAGGAACCCTTAAGGAACCCTAAACCCTAAGGAACCCTAAACCCTCAGGAACCCTAAAACCCTAAGGAACCCTAAACCCTAAACCCTTAAGGAACCCTAAACCCTATGGTCGGAACACTTATAAGGGAACTCTAAAAGTTCCAAGCCGCCCTAAAAGTGTGAAGACCACGGCCCGGAAACTCTTCATAGCACCGTTTACGAGAGTTTAGGGTTTAATTAGGGTTTTAGGGTTTAGGGTTTCAGGGTTTAGGATTTAGGCTTTAGGATTCTAGGGTCTAGGGTTAGTTGAAGATTTACGGCCCTTCTTCATGTAAAGATGTTATCTGACTGTGCAGCTTAGCCGAACTGTTATCATTTGGCTCAAGATGAAAAGAGGCTCGGAAACTGAGTTGTGCCTCTTGTGTTCAGGGTTGGGTTTCCTTTGGTTTGCTCCTTCCCTGTTCTTGTGTTCCGTGATCATCCAGCCTTCCTTGGTGGTTTCCTCGGTTTGGGTCTGGATAACTGGGTTTAACAGGTTTCAGAGCGTAGGGTGGGTTTAGGGTTTTAGGGGTATGGGGTTTAGGTCTTAGGGTGTTAGGGTTTAGGGTTTTAGGGGTATGGGGTAGAGGGTTTAGGGTCTTATGGGTTTTGGGTTTAGGCGTTTATGGTCTGAGGGTTGTATGGTTATCGTATGAAAAGCAAAATACCAGGAAAAAGGGAACCCATATTGTTGCAGAAAGGGCTCTATTATTGAGGGGCACTCAGGAATCTAGTCTATGCAAGGGTTTTCGGTACGGCCTTCCTATGAAGGTTTAGGGTTTATGGACCCTAACCCCTAAACCGTTCCATTTTACTTTTCGGCAAGGCTCCGATGACGGCTCTATACGGTTTGTATGCAGCTCTTGTGATTAATATAGGGGCCTTAATAAATACCTATACCACTATTGTGGGGGGCTCCGTATTGTAATTGCCGTATAATATACCCCAAAACCCTATTCTGACTATTAAGACCCCTACACTACGTGTTTCGGTATTCTGGGGTGTTTAGTAGAGTTTACCCCTAAACCCTAAACCCTCAACCCTCGGGTTTACCTTTCAAGCTTTGCCGAAAATGCTCTGCAAGGCAGGTCCGAGGTTCAGTCTCCACCTCATGCGGATTCACATAAGCTTGACAATTAGGGTTTAGGGTTTAGGATTTAGGGTTTAGTGTTTAGGGCCTTTTAGGGTTTAGGGTTTAGTGTTTAGGGGTTTAGGGTTTAGGGTTTAGGGTGACAACTCCCAAGCCTTAGGGGTACTTAGAAATAGATTTTAATCTTTGGCTACTACTAAACCCTAAGAAGCAGCTAAAACTAAAATTTTTGCTAGGAGCCTAAGTTCAGTATAGAAGCGTATGATGGCCGAAACCCCAAAACCTACACCCCAGATTTTGAAACACCCACTATAAAACCCGATCCTTCCTAAACACCCCTCCCAAAATATTGGGAAGGACACTTTAAAAACAAAAACCTAAACCCTAAACCCTAAGGGTTTAGGGTTAAAAAAACAGCCTTGAATTGAACAAAAAGCATGCGAATCCCTAAACTCGAAGCCCAAACCTCCGAGCCCCAAACTCCTAAACTCGTCTAAAAACCGGGGCCTCACAAGGGGATTTGGGATGTGTATATATATATATGTATCGGTTTAAGGTTTAGGGTTTAGGGTTATATATGTGTATATATATATATAATATTTGTATCAGAATAGGGTTTGGGGGGTATATCTATATTATATTCATAATTTTAGACATTACAAAGTAGGGTTTTGGGGTGCATCTATACTATAACTGTATCAAGGAACCATATCAAAAACACTGTTCATGCGTATAAATCCTGCATTACTTTAAGGACTCTGTAAACTGTGGGAATTATGGTATATTCCTCATGGGAATTATGGTATATGCCTTATTTTTGCGTAATGCAGTATTTATATCATGAAACCTTAAACCCTAAACCCTCATATCACGAGACTCAAGATCAAACCCAGGTGCAGCAACTACGGTGTCGCAATGGGGCAGGAAGGCTCTCTAGGCCGACTGGAGCACAACAAAGTCCCATCTGTCTTAGGGCTTTACTGGTCTTGAGGGTTTAGGGTTTAGGGTTGTTTTAGGGCTTCTTGCAAGCGCTTTTGGAGGCTTGCGACGGGTCTGCTAGGGTGGGGTTAGAAAGGTCTTGCGATACTCAAGCTATCGCCATTGCTTTCTTGCAAGTGTATTCTTCCCTAAACCCTAAAGCCTAAAACCCTAAACCCTAAACCCCTAAAGACTGTATTTGGAATAAGGAACCCCCAAAGCCTTGTTCTAATTATTAAGGCCCCTATATCATAGCAGAAGCCAGAAAGTTGGAACATTTTAATCCTCATGCCCTTAGAATAAAGTACACTGGATCCTAGCACAAATCATCCTAAACCCATGTTCCAACCTGCTGGCTTCTACTGTAACCCTAAACCCTAAACCCAAACCACATTCTAATGAATCAGGCCCCTCAAACCCCTACATCCTAAACCCTAAACCCTGCATTGTGCTTTTACCCAAAGGCTCCATGTACCTTTATAGTAGATACTTTGGCCTTAAAGTACCTATATAGGGACCCCTTTAAGGCCAAAGTATCCCTAAACCCTAAACCCTAAACCCTAAACCTTACATGGAGCCTTTGGGTTAGGTTGTAGGCTCTCCTAATGTGCGCACCCGTGACCCGACACCCAATGCCCAAGGGTTTAGGGTTTAGGGTTTAGGATTTAGGGTTTAGGGTGTAGGGTTTAGGGTTTAGGGTTTAGGGTTTAGGGTTCAGGGTTCCAATGCCCAAGGCGCGAAGAATTCGGGTTTTCAACTCTTCTTGTGGGTAGTTCTCTAGATGTTGGCCCCGTTTAGGGTTCTTTTTATAAGGGTGCCGTGCTATATTGGGGACCCTAATTTAGAGAACTACCCGTGTGTTGGCTTAAGGGTTTTAGAGGTTTGGGTGTTTTTGGGGTTTTAGGGCTTTGAGCTTTTATGGTTTGGGGTTTAGGGTTTAGGGTTTAGGGGTTTAGGGTTCTCGGGTTTTGGGGTTTAGGGTTTTAGGGGTTAGGGTTTCAAGGCTTAGGGTTTAGGGTGTACGGTTTAGGGTTCATGGCTCCTGTTTACAGTGCCGTTCCTGATGTACAGATAGCTTCGAGAAGCAGTAACGCGCAACATGTGCATGCCGATTTTGCGCGAAGCTGGTGACCACGACTAAACCCTAAACCCCAATCAAACCTAAACCCTAAACCCGAAACCCGAAACCCGAAACCCTAAACCCTAAACCCTAAACCCTAAACCCTAAACCCTAAACCCTAAACCCAATCAAACCCTTATACACCCTTAAGCCTAAATGGTCTTTGAGGCGTGCACGCGTGGACGGCGGTTGCAACTTTTGGATCGCTTCTGTTTGAAAAAGATACCTATAGTCTCCATTGTAGTTCCTGGGTTTAGGGTTTAGGGTTCAGGGTTTAGGGTTCAGGGTTCTTCCGAGTTTAGGGTTTGGGGTTCAGGGTTCTTCAGGGTTTAGGGGTTACCTATAGTCTCCATTGTAGTTCCTTTTTTTGTTCAACCAATTATATAAAAAGGATTTTATAAGGTATCCCCCCAAAAAAAACTACAATGGAGACACAAGGTAAGGGATTATTGGACATCAACCTTGAAACCCCAAAACCCCAAAACCCAGTCATCAAGGGCTTCGCATGGGGCGTCTTCCGACCATCCCCCTAATTTTTTTACCTCCGTCCCCAAATCCGTACCGATTGAATAATTGGTAAGATTGTCTCCCTCTGATTCTCTTACACAGATGCAAGTTTTGCACCCGAATCACTACTGTTTTCATTCAGGCCGCCAAATTACGGATGACCCCTTATACACCCTAAACCCTAAACCCTTTAACACAGCCCTAATACGGCTGATGATATACATCCTGCATTACCCATATTAAGGAATATACCGCAATTCCCATAGTCTAGGGTCCTTGAGGTAATGCAGGATTAATACTAAACCCTCAACCCTAAACCCTAAACCGCTAAACCCTAAACCCCTAAACCCCTAAACCCTAAACCCCTAAACCCCAAACCCCTAAACCCCTAAGCTCCAACCCCAAAGCCCCTTAACCCTAAACCCCTAACCCCTAAACCCCCACATCCCTAAGCCCCTAATCCCCCAGAGCCCCTGAACCCCCCAGAGCCCCTAAACCCTAATGGAGCGCTTCACGGTTTAGGGTTTAGGGTTTAGGGTTTAGGAGTATCAACGGCCAGGTGTGGCACGTGCCTTCGACCTCCAGTCGGGGCAGATCGTTTGGGACGCTGGGCTGGTCATAGGGTTTAGGGGCTTAGGGGTTTAGGGTTTAGGTCCTGGGTTTAGGGTTTAGGGCTTTGGGCTTTGGGGTTTAGGGGTTTAGGGGTTTAGGGTTTAGGGCTCAGGGTTCAGGGTTTAGGGCTTAGGGCTTTGGGTTTAGGGTTTTAGGGTTTAGGGCTTTGGGTTTTTGGGTTTAAGGGCTTTGGGTCAGAG